ATGTGGCTGCAAAGAGGGAATATGACAGAAACTCAGTACTAAGATCCTTTAATATATGAACTAGTCAATTCTAAGAGGTCTCTTTCACCACAGTATAAGATATGGAAGAGCACCAAGGCTTTTTGCAGAGGGACCTGGACAGGCTGGATAAATGGGCTGAATCCAGTCATATGATGTTTAACAAGACCAAGTGCTGAGTCCTGCACTTTGACCACAACAACCCCCTGCAGTGCTACAGGCTGGGGACAGACTGGCTGGAGAGCAGCCAGGCAGAGAGAGACCTGGGAGTTTGGATTGACAGGAAGCTGAACATGAGCCAGCAGTGTGCCCAGGTGGCCAAGAAGGCCAATGGCATCCTGGCCTGTATCAGGAACAGTGTGGCCAACATGTCCAGGGCAGTGATTCTTCCCCTGAGAAGAGCAACAAGGCTGGTGAAGGGACTCAAGCACAAGTCCTATGAGGAGAGGCTGAGGGAACTGGGGTTGTTTACCCTGGAGAAGAGGAGGCTCAGGGGAGACCTCATCACTCTCTACAACTACCTGACAGGAGGTTGTAGCCAGGTGGGGGTTGGTCTCTTCTCCCAGGCAACCAGCAGTAGGACAAGAGGGCATGGTCTTAAGCTGTGCCAGCAGAGGTTTAGGTTAGACATTAGAAAGAAATTCTTTACAGAGAGAGTGATCAGACGTTGGAATGGGCTGCCCAGGGAAGTGGTGGATTCACCATCCCTGGAGGTGTTTAAGAAGAGACTGGATGTGGCACTTAGTGCCATGGTCTAGTTGACAGGGTGCTGTTGGGTCATGGGTTGGACTCGATGATCTCAGAGGTCTTTTCCAACCTGGTTGATTCTGTGATTCTGTGAAGGCTTGATCAGTTCCCCAGAAATCAACTGAAGCCAAGGGTGACAAGCATCTTTAAATACTTTTGAAAGCCTAGAATGCTTTCAGCTACACAGGAGGGACTGCTGTCAAGCTATTGTGAAATGAAGGTCAGTTCAGGCTTTTTGAATCAAAAGAAAAAGTACAAACCACTGGCAAAATACCAGTTTTCCTAGTTTACATATGAGGTTTGCACTGGACTGCTGGAAATCCAGCAACTCATCACTGTGCTGGACATGGGGTCAATTTACATCATAGGCAAGGGTTGTGTGCTGTTTGTGTCCTCTGACTGCCACTGAGGATGAAAGTGAGCTATTTGCCTTGCTACTGCCAATCTCATCCATGTCTAGGAAGATATAAGCATGTTGTTATTTACTTGCTAGGCAGTTGTGTGTAAAAATCCTTTCTGAATTCATGTGTTATGATGGCAAGTTGAATGTGAGTCAGCAGTGCCCTGGCAGCCAGGAGGGCCAGCCGTGTCCGGGGGGGCATCAGGCAAAACATCACCAGCTGGTCGAAGGAGAGGATTGTTCCGCTCTGCTCTGCACTGGGGGGGCCTCATCTTGAATATCATGGCAGTTTTGGGCACCACAATATAAAAAAGATATTAAGGTATTAGAGAGTGTCCAAAGGAGGGCAATGAGGATGGTGAAGGATCTGGAGGGGAAGCTTTATGAAGAGTGGCTTGTTCAGCCTGGAGAAGAGGAGACTGAGGGGAGACCTCACTGTGGTCTTCAACATCCTCATGAGGAGGAAGTGGAGGGGCAGGCATTGATCTCTTCTCTGTGGTGACTAGGGACAGGGCTCGAGGAAACATCATGAAGCTGCGTCAGAGAGGTTTAGGTTAGATATCAGGAAAAGATTTTTCACTCAGAGGGTGGGAGGGCACTGGAACAGGCTCCCCAGGGCAGTGGTCACAGCACAAAGCCTGACAAAGTTCAAGAAGTGTTTGGACAATGCTCTCTGGTAATGGTGTGACTCTTGGGGAGTCCTGTGCAGGGCCAGGAGTTGGACTCGATGATCCTGATGGGTACCTTCCAACTCAGTAGATTGTATGATTCTATGATTCTGTGGATATGTTGGTTGTTATTTTAAGTTCTGAGATTTGGACACATTATTCTGTGGCTATCAAAACCAGAGTAACAAAAGGCACAGGCAGTTCTCTGCACAGCCTGTCTGTGCATACAGAAAGGGCAGGTGGGGAGAACACATTTTATTTCAGAAAAGCTATTGACTTCTAGGGCATGGTTCAAGCCTCCGTGGGTAAAACTGAAATTTGATTTTACATTGTATATAAAACAAACAATACTTTCAATGTGCAATACACCAGCTGTCAAAAGGCATTTAAATATTGTTCAGTTCTGGCTTCAATGCAAGACCAAACTGTGCATTAGTTATATTCAGTGCTGTTGGCTGAAACCAGATATGGTTCGCAAGCTGGATGCTGTATTACAGTGTATATATAGTACAGGATGAATGCAAGAGCTGGTTAGGCAAGAAACCATGTGTATCAAATTAACTGCATGGACGAAATTATGATCTTTAACTGGGGAAGAAAAATAACCCACAATACACAGAACTTTGCAAATCAACTTGTAGCACTGCAGATGGTCTCCATGAAAGACTTGGCTATAAGCAGTCACAAATGCTGGCAACTTTGGTTTTGGTCCAAAAATTTGTGTCTCTTCCCAGATCCTATATTAAACTGAAAAGTTTTAGAGTAAAACATGGTCATCTTTTTATGTTCCAGTCAAAAGCTGAATAGATATAACCTCACTAAACCTGGTATCACTGGGAACTATAAGTCTGTTGGGATTTATGCAAAGGAAGATGCTAAGTTTCACCAGGCTCAGTGCAGGAGTGATTCCTTCATTTTTCTGTCTGTGGTACCTACTGGCTTTTGCATAGCCAAATACTTTATGGAGTTTTGGAATAAAAAAAAAAATTGGGTAAAAATAAAGTTCTGGTCTTAAAAACAAACAAAAAACCAAACCCGCTCAAACAAACAAACAAAACCTCAAAAATCCACACATCAATTCTTTAAAAAGTCTGAAAAATAGATGTAGCTCAGGGCTGAGGCTGCCATTATGTTTGCCTGAGCATGAACATTAAGTTTTAAGTGCAGCTATTAATGCACACACAGAGAATATTCAAAACCCTCCCCAACCCAAAACAAGAAATTGAACACTGTTCTCCCTCGTCACATGGAAAGGGGCAGAAATGCAAAGATTTCCCACCTGTATTAATGAATTTTTTATTGGCTATCAGTGTCCCCAGAATATCAAAGCCTTTTAAAGCCCAAAACAGTCTGTCTGTGCCTCACCTAAAGACACACTTTGCTAAACAGATTCACTGCGATGGACAGGACTTTTGATACCCTGATATGGGGGCAGCACTTAATAGCAATGGAGAACCTTCTCAGCAAAGTTCTCCTACAAGTTACAAGGCTGCCAGCACCAGAAACAAAATGGACTTACTCTAGCAGCTCACAAAATAACTTTTATTAATACAAGTACGTGACAAACTACTGTTGGGTTTGCGTCACTGGTGATAACATTTAACTGCACGATGGCATTTAACTAATAAAAAAACAGAAACCAGAAGCATGCTCTACAAAACAAGACAACTGCCTAAGCCTTAATACAAAACTCAAGCAACCCCCCCATGACAGACCAATTTATAAAGACTAGAACAAAATCTAAACACACTTGTTAACACAAAGTAAAAAAGAAAATATAGCCACTTCCTACTAACACACATTTCAACTCACTAAGATAAGGAAATGTACACCTTAGAGCAAACCACAAACAACAAGTCGGCAATAAAGTACAATATAGGACAACAAAACAATAAAAAGAACATAAAGTAAGATATGTACCCTGTAAGTTAAAAGGTGTAGGGCAAGGTAAAATTAGTATCTATAAAGCAAAGTAGCAAAGTACAATTAGCAAATAAAGTATCTATGGGGTAACGGTGAAAGACAGTGATCTATAGGGCATAAGGCAAGGTCAAGCTAAAGAAAGCAGAGTAAATGGCTGCTCACCCCTACAGTGTCTGAAGGAGTGGAAGGAGACAGGGCAGATCATCAGTTACCCCCGCAGAGAGGATGGACTTTCTCCCCCATTTTGCTCATGTCCAATCTCCTTTTATAATTTTTTTCTTAGGCAGTTTGAGTGACTATAGTCAATAATGATTTTTGGGGTGATAGACAGATGACATAGGCCTGAGGGTCGGGTCCCTGTGTTCCCATAGGATGTTGTGTGGAAAGGCTGTGCTATTTCCATAGCACTCCATCCTTCGTTAATCCTATCAGTCTGTTGCTGGGAAGTCTCCCCATTTTGTTGAGGACTTTTGGGAAGCCATTGGGGTTTCTTTGTCCCTTTTTGTGTAACCCATTATCATCTGGCAATGGGTTTCTGGCAATGGGTTTCTGAGAATGCCCCCACCAGGTGCTGAGGTGTTTCCCATAACTGATCAGGATGGTCATCATGGCCTTACATTGGTATATCCCTTAAAATCTACATTCTGCTTACTCTATGGAAAGGTTGAACTTGTATCACCAGTCAGCACTCTTTCCAGCTGATTTGAACCCTCAGAGAAGAGTGAAGCTATATGAAAAGAATAATGGGAGGGTTGCCAGTCCTGTTCCATTTTCAGACTCTCTTGACAAAGGGAACAAGCTGTAGTTTTGTCACTTAAATGACCATAAAACTGCAATATCACTTACTTTGTTGAGCAAAAGGTGCTCAAGGCTAATAAAGACAAGATGATATGTTAGCAGATTTTTAGAAAGTACATGGAATTTCAGACCAGGAATCAAATGATGACAGTCCTGACTATCAGGAAAGAAAAGTGTAGGCAGATCAATGTAAAAAATAGAATATCTGCAGATATTTGCATTTCCTTTCTCATGGCATCTATGCCTGAAACTCTTCTTATTATGCCACTTTTCAAACTTCAGGCACTTCGAGGTCTTGAAAATACCAGCCACTCCCCATCTCTACAAAGTCACAGTTGGAGCAGCAAAGCTGGAGTTGGAAGATTAAGGAATACCTACATGAAGATTAAACTGCAAACCTATGCATAAACAAATACCACATTTGAAACTGAAGCAACAGGCCAGCATATTTTATGTTTTGATTTTTATTTAATAAGTTGACAACACTTAAAGGTGTAATGGCCACCTGACCGTGCTATTGACATGACAACTTCTCTGCCCCAGAGAGCTTTCAGTGCAGTCACAAAGTAAAAGGCACCACATAACATAGCACAGGGAATAAAACAGGACAAGGTGTACAGCAAGAAGGATGCATGTGTGTTTTGATGACCCTATTCCCCTTTCTCCATCTATCCCCCTCCTGGCTGCTTTCTCTTGGGGCAACAGCCCAATTTTGTCCTGTGTTTCACTTCCCCAGTTCTAACAACGTGAACCATAAAATCATAGCAAAATGACTGAAGGAAAATATTTCCACATGGTCATATTTTCTTTTGTTCAAGCCAGTGTCTGTGCAGACACGAAGGGAAAAATTCATGAACATCTACAGGTGTTTCCAGTTGTGCCAGAACACCTTATTACTCAACATCTGGAAAAACCAGTGACTGACCATGGCTGGGTTCCTGTCCACACCTGTCACAAGCCAGAGAGATTACAGCACCCAGAGATTAATTCAGCTTCAGGAGCAGAGCTTTCACCACCTGAACTCTTCTGGGACTTCCTCCAAGTTCTGCAATGGGAATGTTGGCTTTCAGGTAAAAAGAGGTCCTTCCCCACAATATCTTCCCTGGACAGGGGAACTCCCCTTCCCTGGGAATGAGATGGCAGTGTCCCTCAGCACCACGTTCACTCACTCCATGGTAAATTGGAGTGCCACTTCTTGCTCTGGCAGTGCTCCAGCTGGACTCAGCTGACCTGAGGACAATAAGCCCCACCACTCACACCTGCAGTGCCTACACACAGATTCACCAGGATGGGCAGCCAGGGGTTCACTGAGAAATCCCCAGGACTAGAGGGAGGGCAATGCCAGACTAGAGAGGACAGACAAGACAGGTCCAGAGCAAAGCAGGGGAACAAAGCCAAGCTATAACAAGACGGGGACGAGCCAAGTGCAACAGAAGCCAAGAAGCTCTGAGAAGCCACTCTGCTGCAGCCAGGATCCAAGCCTCCAAAGGAGGCTTTGCTCCAGAAGTCCTGAGAGTGCTCTGCCATGCATGGGTAAGGACTGCTGCCCTTTCCCACTCTCTGGGAGGGGAGCTGCAGGTGAAGCTTGCAGTGACTCTGGTTTTGCCAAGCAGCCCAATATCAGCACTGCCAGTGCTCCCAGGCTGTGTGAACAGACTTAGGGAAAAACATACAGCACAGGTGCTCTCTGAGGGAATTTGGAGAAATAACATCAGAATCCCCTTTCCAGTTCACAATGAGCTTCTGTGCTGGCCTGTGTCCTGGTCCCAAGCAAAAGAGCATGATGCACTTCTCAGTGTGCAGCAGTTGCACACTTTCCAAGCCCTGGACAGGTTTGGGAAGCCACTCAGGCTCTCTGTGGTGTTCCTCTACTTCCCCACTGTTTGTTACCATACCTAGAACTGCACTGGCAGAGCAGTAGTTTAATTTCTTCTCTCATCCACTTCCAGCAAAGTCACACCAGTTTAGTTAGAGAAGCGAGGTGACAGGCAGGCACTTTCTTCCAAATTCAGCTGAAGAGATTTTCGTCTTCAGATATCCCATTCCCTTCCCAAGACAAGTTAGCACCCCATAGCTCAATGCTGGAATGGTTTGAGACAGTTAATAATTCATGTCAGACAAACTCCAAGCATCTACAACCTAATTGAGACTTGTGAGCAGACACTGTCTTACAATAAAGGGGTAGAGTTGAGGATAAAAACCATCTCAGCTTTCAGGTACACAAGTCTTTCTTCATGCCTGAAACAAAAAGAGCAGTTTTCAAAGGCAACTACAAGGAAAAACCAAAACAGTCAGAGTTCAGTACGTCACAAAATGGACCAAATATGTGTGTCCTAATCACTGTGCTTCACTTTAAGTAAAATAAGGCACACTCTCAGGAAGGAACTTCTTGGCACTGCATGGAGCTTTCTTTAATGTGATGTTGAGCAGTTGCTGGTGGCAGCATTTGGTACAGCTGGAACTGGCAAGGCTGCCTAGTCATACCCTTATTCTCCTTTTTTTACACTATCCATTTGACTTGCCAAGATAAAGGTATTTAGAGATACAATAGGTTAAGAATGGAGTGTCCAGGGAAGGAGGGGAAGAAACTAAACACTTTAATTGAAGAAAACAATACTCTTATGCAAGATAACAGAAAACTCAGCACTGAGATATAAAGTGGTTTGGTGCAAGCACAGCACACATGTAATTCCTCATGACACACACCTCATTATAGCTGACAGAACTACAACATGCCTCAAGGTGGTCAGAGTGCAAACAACAAACAGAAAGGACTTCTATCATCTTTAATACACAAGCAAAGCCTACAGAGACCACAGTGTCCTGTCTCAATATAACTGGGTAAGTTACCACAGAGATATGTTCATATTGGAGACAAAAAACAGCTGCAAGTGTCTCTACAGCACTGTTGGCCAAATTTACCTTGTGGGTACACTTGGCAAACTCTGATTTAAAAATCAAAGCAGGTACATTTTCCCCCCACTCTAATATTAAGTAATAGATTTATTGAATTGAGACATTACTGGCAATCCAGCAAGTGTGAAAAAAAGAGGGTACTCTTTTAAAAAAATACAGAGCAGACAAATACATAAGACACAGGCCCCCAATTTCATCAGTACATTGGGGCATACATGCTTGCAACATGAATTCCATAAAGCTGTATTTTATACAGCTGCATTTTAAAAACTGCTGAACAGGTGACTGTCCTTGGTGGCCTCCAAGATTCAGTTCAGTAGATTGGCAGCTACACAGTCACACAGATTTCTCTTTTCCACCTGAAGAAGCAGAGTTTCTGTCTATAAGAGAGGGGAAAAAAAGCAACATCAAAAAACAAATCTCAGCACTGTAAAACTAATTAGGTCCCAAAGAAAAGTCCATTTTACTTTCATTCTAAGATTTGAAACTGGTTGTATGAGATGAGGCTTGGAGTAAAAATCAGAGTTGTTGTTTACTGCTCTGCAAAATAATTTAGCTTTTGTGGGATTAATTGGCATACCAACATGGCAATACTTCTGTGACATGGAGAAATTCAGTGCAGTACATATTCATATTTTTCACATCAGTCCATTCAGTATGTGTCTGGGTGCTGTTAGTTTTGTTTAAAGTTATTTTTCTTTCTTACAATCTTACTTCAACAGCACAAACTGGAGCATAAGCTCGGACGTTCATTAGAGGCTTAAAAAGATCCCAAAAACCTGTCAGAAATTTTCTTTCACTTAGAAACAGACTCAAACATTAAATTTAGAATATTACAGGCTGGACTCACTGTTGAAAGTTATACAAAAAAAGTAAGGCATAATTTAATTATAGAATATCTCAGGTTGAAGGGACCCATAAGGATCATGAAGTCCAACTCCCTGCTCCTCACAGGACTACCTAAAACTAAAGTGTATGACTAAGAGCATTGCCCACCATCCAGCCTGAACTCTGTCAGGCTTGGTGCCATGACCACTTCCCTTGGGACCCTGTTCCAGTGACTGACCACCCTCTCAGTGAAGAGATTTACTTCTGCTTTAACTTCTCCTGCTTTAACTTCTCCTGCTTCCCCGTTGTTACTGTTGATGTGCCTGAAACAGAGGAGAGGTGCTGATCTGGCCTACAGCCATCACAGCTCACACATGGGATGTATCTGAGAACCAGTCTGATCCAAGAGAGGACTTCCTCCTTATTGTCATGGGACACAGTAGCTGTGGGAAGTCCATTCCCCAAATTATTTCCTACTGGTGCAACCAGCTACGCATAAAAAAGGGTATTATGGAGACTACCACCTCTAAATGCCAATCAAATCCATCCTTAATCTTCCTGACTTGTGATTTTTGTATGAGATGGAATTGCCATGTGATAAAAGACTGTATTTTAAATCCTGTGTTATCCATTGACCCACATCAGCTAAAGGCACTTAGAGCAGAGACGGGCTGAAGCATCCTGCTTTCCACTTTCCTTCTTAGTGCAGGAAAAGCTATCTGCTTCTCAGGGGTTTTCCTCAGATGATAAATCACTAGACATAGCCCTGTGGTTCTATATTAAATCAGGAATCATTTTTGATCATTTCAGCTACCCTGCAAAGCTGGAAAGATCTGATCAGGCTTTGCTAATCATTGAAAAGACACTCAATCACCACCTTCTAACCACCTCTTTGACATCATTTGCAATGGTTTGAATAAGGGAGGTTGACAGCATGCCAACATCTTTGGAGCTGAGGCCCAAGGCTGCTTACCATCTTATATACCTTTAATAACATTTTCAAGCCTTTATTTTTATTTTCAGGGACACATCTAACTTAATGTGCTTTAAACATTCCAATAACCATTGACAATTTAGAAAGCAATAAAGAACAAAATGAATGGCACTGAATACAGCTTTGCTGACTGTTCTGAAAGCATGATCACAAAACTGTTTTCACAGAGTTTTGTTGTTGTTCCCTGGTAGGTTAAGGCATGTTTAAAAAAAATAAAACTAAACCAAAATAAAAAAACCAACCAACCAAACAAACAAGAAAAAAACCAAACCAAACCCACCAAAAAAGTCAAACAGATTCCAGATTCTAAACCTACAAAAAATCTGAAAAGTTCCAGCTAAAAATGCAGTTCCTGAGCTTTTCAAAGTTGTAATGCCATGTCCACTGGTTAACTCCGAAAAATGAGCTGGAATTCTGAAAATAACTGTCTACAGGGCAGACTTAGAGTGAACTGTGCAGCCCATGGGCTGGATTTGTTTTCCAGGATTTGTTTTAGGGCTGTCTCCCTGCTGGGCTCTGTCTTGAGCAGCTTTTAGTTGCTGTGGGGAGCTGGCTGTGAACTGGCTGAATGGTTGTGATGGCAGCAGCTTCCTCCCAGCAGCATGAGACCCCTCTCCCCAGTTCCTGATCAGAGCTGCACCTGCCACATACGGCACTTTGGCCGAGTGATGAACCACAGATATCCCCAGAAAATGTTGCCAAAACAACTAATCCAGCCTGCAGCCTGCTCCAAGGGGCCAGCAGCAACAAAAGGGTGGAAAACAGTTACCCAGAGGGGTAAACAGGTCTGGTATATGTATGGGTAGAAGCCAGACTCTCAAAGGTGGTCTGTGACCCTTCTCTTGCTGAGAGAGTAAAATCCATCCAGCCTGACAATCAGTAAGGGATCTTCACATCAGTTTAGGTTACAAACACATCTAGTTTTGTAAAAGGAAGGAGATAAAGCCTATGGCCTCCCTAAAGGGGTGTGTGACACAGTTAGTTTGCTTTGTGAGACACCATGTAGATCAACACAGGGCCAAATTAGGTGTGAAAGCTCTTGAGCTGTGCAATAAAACTATATGGTTTCCCCTGTACAGAACTGCAGAATGAGATGTGCAGGAGGAATTAAATGAGAAATTCCTCTCTTTTGGCAATCCTTGTTCCTCCAACACAGTTAGAAGCTGCTTAGTCATCTTCTAACAATCTTGCCTGCAAACAAAAGAGGGTTTTTCAGAAAATTAGTGTATCCAGTGGGAATATTAACAAAGGGAATTGTATTTTCAGGGACAGAAATATTTGCCCCACAAAGCAACAAAACAGACTAAAATAGTCAAATGTGAAATATCTATGTAGCTGAAAGGAACAGTCTTAAAACTCTCAGTTTGCATCAAATTGGGCCACAGCTGAATAATAAAAGTAAGAATTAAAATACCCTAGAAGGCTGTTCCAAGAAGTCCTCAACTATTAAATGTTTCCATATCTTTTGAAGATGTAGGCAGAACTCCTAGCTTAATGACTGGAATAGGTTTGTCCTAGTCCAGGGGAACTGAAGGAGCTCAATATGGATTCAACTCCTTAGATTTTAAAGTTATAAGAAAGTGAGAGGTTTGTTTTGCTGAGAATATATAATGGAGCCACATTTTCAGGCTTGCTGTCAAATCTACAACTGTGAAAGTTAATAGGACATTCATCTCAACTGACTTTTTTTCTATCCTCATTTTATCTCTTTTGCCTTCTTTTACTTCTATTTTTTGAAAAGTATTAAAATAGAGTTGCTATCTTTGGGGTTCTTATGGCTACTCCTGCTTTGGATATCTGTGTTTCATGAAGTTTCTCTCTTATCTACAATCTGAAGGTTTTATAAAGGTCACTGCCAGAGCCAGAGAGCCAGAGAAGATTTTAGGAGTTGAGATATTTTTGAATCAAGATGAAGAAATTCTGGTGAAAAGCTCAAAGGTTTGTAAAGGAAGGAAAAGATGTACTAGACCCACTTTACAGCACAATCTGAACATCTTGTTTGGGGTGTATACAGTGTTCAGAAGATCTATTCATTAGCAAGATTTCTTCATGAGACCCAAAATATATTTGACCTGTAATTATTGAACAGATTTTGTTTAACTGTAAATGTGTTACATACCAATCTGGTTCTGCTGAAATGTTTGTTTATCTTTTTGTAGTATGTCACAATTCAAGGCATCTTCATTCCTGCCCTTACATTTTCACCTAAATGTCAGGGACCCTGCTCGAAGTTACCTCAAACCGTTCTTCAAAGATGCCAGTTCACAGGCTTTGAACTGTGAACAACCCTGACCATAGATTAGAAAAACAAAAAAGTTTGAGTGCCTTCTGTTGAAAAATCTGTGCAAGAGTGTAGATATAGCACTTCAGCTAAAGGGTACACAGGAGGTGGGGACAAAGCCACCCTCCTGGGACACCTCCATCTGACAGCAGCTGGGACACAGCCACGCACAGATTGCAGGTTACAGCAGCAAGAGAAAAGATTCCTCTTCTCTCACAGAAGGAAGATACCAACTTTGGCAAATTCTGCACACTGACTGCAAGCCAAACAAGTTTCATTCCCTATGCTCTTCTACTTTGTGGCGTTTTTCATCATTATGAAATCGGAGAAATGTAAAAACTATCTAGGGATGATGTTTCCTTCGTTAGCCTCTCCCCAGGGGTAAAAGCATGTGCAGGGGAGTATTTTATTTTAGTAGACTTTTTGTTTGGCTCCCTCCTTTTGGGTAATAAATATAAATGATACTTTCACCTTACGCCCCCTAACATAAAAACAAAGGTGTGTGCTCAGCATTTGGAATGAGAAGAGCAGCACTAATGGCTGTAACTTTGCACGTGAAGGATAGAGGGCTGAGGATGGTCAGCTCACTCCTTCCTGTATTTCCCGGTGTCCTGGAACCCCCAGGCAGAAGAATTCCGCAGATTATTTCATAGAGAGGTGAAATGGAAATGGAATTAACCATCCTCACCTTAGAAGACAGGACAGTACAGTTCACTGAGTGCTTGTGCAAAATCCATCCACCTTATCTACTTTTATGCACAGCATATTCTTCTATATAAAAAAAAAGTAAAAAGAAAGAAATTTAATGTTTCCTTACCCGTGTGTCTAGGTTATATGCTGTCTTCTTTAAATCCTGCAGAGCCCTCTGCATGAACTCAAATGCATGGCAATCAACACAGGGACGGCCTAGGAGAGCATTTGGTAGACCATTTAGTAGAGAATCATGACTATATGGCATGAAAAGTTAACTAGAAGGATTAAACAGTGATTTTGAGTATCTGAAAGAGCTACAGGAAAAAATCCACAGAGTCTATACTGATGTAGGTACCCTTGAACAATCTGGGTTATTGTAAATGGTCCATCAGGATGGTCCACCAAGTCTCTCAATAACAAAATAATTACTTCAACAAATTTGCACTAAAATTTTTCTTCCTCCTTTATTGCTGTGCCACTCTTCCTTGTCACAGTTCATAGTATGAAAACACTAACCCCATAACTTGAGTTTTTCATTTTGCTTCACTAACCTCAAACACATTTTCAACCTTATCTTCAGATTTTTCAGAAAAGACCTCTAAAGCCATGAACCTGTTCCCTGGAAAATCTTATCTCCTAATCTCACAAACTTGAGTTCTAAATAGAAAGCTAATGGAATAAAACTGTCTGCAATATCACAGACAGACCACTTAGCCTCTAACTTTGAATATGATACAGCTTAGTCTAAACAAATGCCCTGTCATAAGTGGGTATTGCTGATAAGCAGAACTGCTGCAATCTGGACTCACCGCACTGTTTAAGAGAGCATTCCCAGATCCAGACACCCAGACTGAAGGCCACATCATCATGTGGATCATCATGTAACACAAAACTGTGCCCCAACAGATAGCAGTACCAAGACAGAACAAATATAGACATGATGAAACGTCTTTGAATCATCAGGCTGTACATATGTTCTTATTTCCCTCTCAGTGGCTGAGCCTTGCTGACAACTTCACTGGAAATACTGTGCAAGTGAGAAATTCTGAGCGCAGGTTTAGTTTGCTCTCTGAGGTCTGGTAAGGAAGAAGGGATGAAACCTAGACTGATGCTGGAAAATCCTGCAGTGTCAGCCCATTTTGCAAACACTTGATGTTGGACTGATTACTACATGCCTCTAATAAGCTGGAGTATGAGCTTCCAGCTCATGATCTGTGTGCTAACCAGCAAACAGAAATTTTGCCTGCTGGAGGAAACGAGCCTGCCAAATTCTTTAACCGGCTATGAAAAAAGAGAAAAAGAGATAGAAAAAAACATAGAGCAGTATTACAGACCTACTCTCTCATTGCTGTACCATCAGCCAACTTTAGTGTTACTATATTCGCACTGGACAAAAGGAAAGAAGTTTTCACATCAACAATTTCAGCAGCTTTCACATCAACAACTTGATGCAAAGACTTGTCGTTATGTTTATGATGTAAAATAAACTCAATACAAATCAGCAAAGGAGAATTGGGTGTTGAAGGCCACAAGGCTAGGTGTTTAAAAAATGTTTTCTTGGCATCTTCATTGTGGATTTTTTAAATAAAAATAATGACTTTAATATAGCAAACATTCTCAAGAATGAAATATAATGAACAACCAATGTCGGTTGAAAAAGAGCAAGTTCTCAATAATGTCTCTGAAAAGCAAACAAGGTGTTTCCTGGCATAGAAAGGGCTAACACATTGAAAGGGATATACAAAAGAAAAAGTGAAGAACAGTGGCAGATTTCAGGTAGAAGCAAGACAGCAACAGGCAAAAGAGAAGGATAAGACAGTGGAGAGCCTTGGATGCAAGAGCAAAACAGCACTGGTATGCTATCAAGCTGTGGTTTTAAAACAATATACACAAGACATGTCCAAAATAGTTTGAATTATGTGGACAAGCTTCAGTGATGTGAAGTTCTGCAACATGGAAACTACAGTAGGGGCTGTAGGGGAGGGCTGCAGGGTGGTACATACTTTCAGCTGGTATGGCTGTTCCTGCTTCTTGATCAGCTCTAACAGGCTCCATGAAGAGTAGTACAACCACAAAAACTAAAGGAACTGTAAGGATGGCTCTTCTCAGAAGGCAGGGTGGCAGCATCTTGGGAGTGGGTGCTTCTCTGTTTATCAAGAGACATAAACAAGTTAGTGAGGAACACTGTGGATACAAGGCTTTTGTTACACAGAAATTAATGTTCCTGATGGCTAAAGCATTGGCAGGCTTCCTCTGAAAGAAAACAAAATACAGATCTAGACCAAAAGTACTTTTCTGTACTTTTCCAGCAGTGCAAATAAATCCCAACTGGGAAAGAACATCCCTAGACACGAAGGACAAGATCAGAAGTCCCTAGACAGTTTTTGGTTTCATTTGCAAGCTGGGATGCCAACAACTTTGCCTGCTCTGTGACTTTTTCTAACTACACAGTCCTAGACTAGCTGGTCTGGAGAGCTAGACTAGGTGGGTTTGGAGACCAAAACTGCAGGGATTACAGAGCTGGCTGAAACAGAGCAGAACCTGGAACTGAGCTCTTTACCCTCTGCCTTGCTTTACTGATGCACCATTTTTTTCACAAATATAATAACTAAAGGTAACCATTAGCATTACACACCACACTGATTATAAAAACTTACTCCTAGATAAAGAAAAGCCTTTTGTTAAACCTCCACAAATTCACAGGTAGAACTTCTAACAGCAAACACATCAAAACTCTTTGACCTTCTGTTTCCCCTCCTAATCTGGGCTTCAGACTGTTATTTGCAGCCATCCGTTTGTTCCTGAACACCACAGCCAGGCCACACCATGCCCTGAAGCTGGCAGAATCTGTCTCAGCAACAGCTCCCCTTCACACAGAGGTAACTTTTTTTAAAAGTACACAGGTTTCAAATTAAGTAGTTTCTTGACCTGACAGGTAAACTGTTCAGATCAGGAGGGCCTGGCTCAAGCTGCAACAGTCTATTAGAGATTTCAATCCAAGCCTCAAGGATTCTGGCAAACTGCTAAAGAGGTCCTTAGGTACCTTTCATTCCTGTACATTCAAATGGAAGAAAGAAAGAATCAAATAAGACTTAAGTTATGGCAATACAATAAAAGTCACATGAAAAATATCTTCAGCTAAACGTCAGAAAGCAGGACAACGTTCTGCCTCTTTCTGATTTTTAAGCTGGTGCACACTAAGCAAAAGATGTTGCGTAAGAGCACCAAATCTGCATGTAGTGAATGTGAGAGTACAGCACTCCCTAGAACAGATTGTATTTCACATTTAGAAAGGCAGTAGAGGGAGGCAGGAAAGGAAAGGGTTTTCCCCATCTTGCCACAAACACAGAACAGAAAAAGCTTGCTCTTCGATCTATGCAATCCACCTTTTCAGATGCAGCTACTCTGAAACTGTAAATTCTGCACAAACATTTGCAGCATGTGCAAACCAGCAATTCATCCAGGAAAGGAGCAGCCTTATACACATCTCCTTCCTGTGCACCTCAGCCTAAACATAAGATAGGAAGTGGTTCAGAGGCAAGAGACAAACATGTACGTGTAGAGTCACAGATGTATTTGAGCACACAGAAAGAAAAAGATCTGGTAATGTAATTTCTATAACCTCATAACTGGGTTTCCTACCCCACCCACTATTTAAATCTGATGTGATTCTTTTTCTTATTTCTACAATCATTAAAATAAAGGGATTGAAATGATAACAAGTGGCTTGGGTTTTCTGTTTTAATTAATGGTGATCTGCAATCAAAACCAGTAGAATCAAAGTCTTTGCAACAGGATGCAGCAGAGTGTCTCCAAGTAACAGTAAACTAGGATAATACCAGCCTCTTTTGAAAGTACCTGATGAAGAAGCCTCCTGATCAGTAGGAGTGGAGGCTATTCTCATAGTTGACTGAGTACTACAAAGGTTCATCAAAACAAAGCAGGCATGCTGGTAAACTTTTTAGGGTACCTTACACATCACCCACCCCAGAGTCAGCTCAGCTTTGTATGTGAGCCCCACAGTAAAACAATTGTTCCCCGAGTGCAGCAATCACCTTAAATCACATCTAACTCCTGCCTCTTAGCTATTCCATGAAAAATTGCAAGGAATAATCATGACAGGCTTCAAGGGTGGTCTCTCTCTGCAGTGCAACTGGGAACGGAGACAGATCTGTGCATGGACTACTGTGAAAGAGAAAAGTCATCCCCTCTAACAAAGGAAAAAATATCAGTACCTGATCTTTCTCTTGTCTTTGTGATGGTTTCTTTGAAATGGCCGCTGCAAACTGCTAAGAGAACAAGTGCAGCATTTCTGAGCATGTGCACTGTCTCTTTTTAACCTTCCCTGAAAGAGGTTATTACTACGGGGAGATTTCTGCCATGGCAACAATGCAGAGCACTGCAGCACACAGTGCAGATTTAAAGAGCCACAGGCTGTGTCTCCCAGGTCTGGGGAAGGATGTTTCTGGTTTGACATGCAAGATCCAGTAGCGACTTACCTGCTCTGGGTAAGGTTTTTAGAGCCAAGCCATTTGATCCATCTCTGCTGAAGTCTGCTGAATGGCTTTCCTGAAGTCTGCGCAGCTGGATGTCGTGTCTGATTCAAGCAACTTGCTTCCCTAGAGCCTGAAAATAACCATGACAAACTACACCTGCTTTATGTGAAATGAGGACAAACCATGGGATTGCACTCAGGAATTGTTCGGTGCACTGTCTGTTGTTTGAATGGTTCTGAGTTACAGGGGTCTTAAGCACTCCTGCCTGCTTTCCTGGGAATTTCTGTGATTCCAGTCCCAGGGTTGTTAGGAGCACATGCAGGAGTGCAGGCACTTAAACTCTAAATGGGAACTTGAGTCTGAACTCAGAGTAAACTTCACCCCTATTTTCCAGCCTGTACCTCTGTTCCCCTTTCAATGCCCCATGAGCTGTGCTCCAGGACAACACTGACGGCACTTGAGCTGAATGCAAAAATATAATGAAGTGCAGATTATAAAAGTGCTTTTGTCTAAGTTCAGGAGTTGCATCACACACCACCCCCCCAAAAAAACCCCCCACATTTCCCATCACAAATTAAACACTAGCAGTTCTTGTTACAGAGAGAATGAACCCAGCTGAGGGCAGGCACGGCACTGAGGAGCATGCACAGGACTTCAAAGGGACTGTGCACTGTGTTTGCTTTAGCAGGTTCAGTGGGGACTCAAATCTTCAATGCCATCACAGTGAAAGTTGGGGGCACTCCATGTCCAGGAAGGTCAGGCACACAACCTTTTTTCTTTCATGATCAGAAAGTCTTTTGCAGAATTATGACTAAATTGCTGGCTAACATTCTTCTTTTCAACATGCTCTATAACCTGTCTCTCCTGTACAGCCCTAGAGGAATGGTTTGCTCCCATTAACTCAAGTAAGTAAGAAGCTAAAATGTCAGGTTGTTCAGTGTGTAACTATGCTGCTATATGAAGTTACAGCATCCATAAGCAGAGTCAAGAGGGAATTAATTATAGTACTGGTATCCTTATACATCACAAAAAACAGAAGGCAGGGTAAAATAATTTTTAGAGACTGTTCTTTTGGGAAAACAAGATTTAGCATTGCTCTTGCAGAGATAACCATAAAGGATTTGGTCTGATTTAGCATCTGCCTATACACAAATTACAAATGCAGAACTTTATTCATGATCATTCTCTGCCCTCTAATCTCACACCTTGGCCTCTCTTCCTGATAAATAACATAGATATTCATATAGACACACCCCCCGCAGACATGCACACCCCTCTCTCTCTATATATATATGTCTTTTTGTAATGTGATCATTCCCAGTAAATCTTACTCTGTTCTCCTGAATCCTGTCCTTTTTCTATCACAACAGTAACACCAAGCAGTCAACTCTGGTACCTCGGGTGTTATCATGGATTCATTCCTCTAGAAACGTGCAATGGGCTTCTGACTCCATTAGTTAAAATTATAAAAATCCATTTCTGCCATTCTCAGATGTCAAATTGCTTGCTCTGAGCATCTCACACCAGGTACCAGAATGTCCTTTCTTTAGCCTTGTCTTAAATAAACCTATCCTGCATAGAACAACTTCTATTTTAGTGTTTTAAAGACATTTCCTCTTCATTCACTTTTCTCCACTCTGCACTATGTTAAGCACTGTTTTTTTCTCTTCACTGAAGTTAAAATTTTCTTAGCTGGAAAATATCAGTTCACCAAGGAGGAGGTCTTCCACAGAAGAGTTAGAGATCCCATTTTGGGTTATTTTTCATACAATCATAGAATATCCTGAGTTGGAAGAGACCCACAAGGATCATCTAAGTCCATCTCCTGGACCTGCACAGGACAACCCTGAGAATCCCATCACGTGCCTGAGAGCATTGTCCAAACAATCCTTGAACTCTGTCAGGTTTGGTGCTCTGACCACATCCCTGGGGAGCCTGTTCCAGTGCCCAGCCACCTTCTGGGTGAAGACCCTTCTCCCGATACTCAAACTAAACCTCCCCTGACACAACTTTGGGCCATTCCCTCAGGTCCTGTCACTGGTCACCACAGAGAAGAGATCAGTGCCTGCCCCTCCGCTTCCCCTTGTCAGGTTGTTGAAGATCGCAGTGAAGTCTCCCTTCGGTTTCCTCTTCTCCAGGCTGAACAAGCCAAGTGACTTCAGCTGCTCCTCACATGGTTTTCCCTCCAGGCCCTTCACCATCCTCGTGGCCCTCCTTTGGACAATCTCTAACAGTTTCATATCCTTCTTATATGTGGTTCCCAAAACTGCTCACAATATTCAAGGTGAGGCCGCCCCAGTGCAGAGCAGAGTAGGACAATCCCCTCCCTCAGCTGGCTGGTGATGCTGTGCCTGATGTCCCCTAGGACATGGTTGGCCCTCCTGGCTGCCAGGGTACGCTGAAAATTTTATTTTGAAAATTTTGAAATTTTGAAAATTTTTAAATTTTTATTTGAAAAATTATTTGAAAAATATTATCTGGATAATTTTCAGATTGATAATTTCTGGTTTTCTGCTTGAGAATTATTTCCTTTTTAAACTAAGCTTAACTGAGTAAAATACATTACATAGTCTGTTCATGGGACTGCAGAGTGGGAGCAGCTCTCATGTTAAAGATATTTAGGCACATCTCCAACAGAACATTACAACCCCAAAAAAATCTTTGCTTCTCTTATTTCCCTCAAGCACAAAGCATGGGTCATACAGATGCTAGCCCAAGGGCACCTGAAAACTGGAAGTACAGACCAGGACTGGGACTACACAGCACCTGCACAACAGCCTCCAGTGGTGATTTCACTGGTGTGCCCCAATTTGCAGTGGTGGTTATGAGGAATCCATGGGATGAGCGTGAAAAGTGACATTTGGGTGAAAGCTGGAACATGCTGGCTCCCAAGCTGCCCTGGGGGACCATTCATGAGGAAAGCAGAAAGAATTTATAGCTTCTTTTCTATAATAAAGCTGAACACAATGGATTTTTTTTCAAGATTCCCACCAGCTAAAAAACATCAAAGCGCTGTTACTGAGATTTCATTTTTTCATCTTGATAGCACATGTTTTGATACTATAAATATTTCTGTGGGATTGGGAGAAAAGCTCAAGCCTTTACCTCTAAGCCTCTTCACGGCTTGGTATCTCCTTGGTTCTTAAATCTAATACTCTGTCACAGCAGAAAACTTTCTTCCCTCACTAAAGATAGCAGATTCTGTCATTTCTCCTGGAGACACTTTTATGTTTTCTCACAGCCTGCCCTCTAAATCATGGTAAAAATCTCCCCGCAAGGTGCCATCTTGTCTTCCATCAAATCCTCTTTTATGCTTTACCTCTGCCACCAATCCCAGGAAGTGCCGCTGGCCGACAGAGCCTGGGGAGGAATCTGGCTGGGGCTTCGGGCGGCATGCAAATGTGTTTGTCACACCAGTATCTCCCTGCCTCACACCTCCGGATGAGTCCCCCCCTCCTGATCCTGCAGTAATCCCGAGCTGTGATAGCTCGAGGGCAGGGGCTGTGTTTGCACTTGTTGGCGCAGCACCACAAGGCTGGAGTGTTGATGGAGGCCTCCGGGCAGATGTGATGAATTAATAAAGACAAACTACCTAAAGCTGATCTCATTCTCCCCCCACTCTGATATATGAGCTATTCATAGAGCAAGCCTCTTATTCTTTTCCTCACAATGTAAAGCTCTTGGGACGTGTCAGAGTAACCAGATTAAGAAATGAAGTCTGCATTTGTTCCCTGAACAGGTCTCACCTACTTTGGTAGCAGCAAATAATCACAATTGTTCCTTCTTCCATTTTCCCCACCAGTAATTTTAGGAATAATTTCCCTGTCGGGAACTCCAAATCCTGCGGTTCCCATCTGTCAGGGTATGGATTGCCTGAAGTCATTTTAGAACCCAAAAATCTTGCATTTCAGCACAACACTAAGGCTCGGCTCACATCCAAGTCTGACTTTTCCATACAGCTCTCAGGGAGATCTGCACTGTCAGAACTACTTACTGCTTTTTGGATGAGATGTTGAACCGGGGTCATATCTTTCCGCATCTCTGCAGGAGCTGAGTAGCATTTAAAAATCCCATGGCGATATTCAGGAAGGGTTAGTGTTAGCTGAGCTATCCTTGGCTTGCACTGTCCCTATCCACCCTCCTGCACACACAGCTTTGGGGAAAAAAGCCGCGTTCCAAGCTGTGCTTGAGCTATTTCAGGGTACATAAGAGTTGCAACTTTAACTAGTTTGGGAAGTCCACAGGGATGTCTTGAGTACTCTGCAGCAACTAGACAAATATATAGGCACATGAATGGGCTTTGAACTGGAGGGGAACAAACCACTACCTTCCCAAGCTTCCCAGTCTAGAACCAGACTTTAGAGTCCAGGGGTCTCTTCTAACACAGGTGGCCTAGGAAGGTAAAGAGAAGATCTCTCAGCTGAGAAGCAATGCACTGTTAGCCAGGTTCCTGGCAAAGGCTGCTTGGAAAATAAAGGAAGTGAGATTGCTAACATTGGAAGTTTATTGTTGACCCTTTTTTTCACCAAAAGATGTTTATTATCCAAAGTCTGTATAAGGGCTCCCAAACTTCAGAAATCAGAAGACTCACATTTAGAGGGCTCCAGATCCATTCTCTGCTCTAGGAATCAACTCCTCCACAGCTAGGAGACTGATCCAGGATGACTTTTATGACCCTGATACTTGGATCTCATTGATAATCAATATTCTGACATTATAATCTCTATGATTTAATGCTGTAAAGTTGGATCCACCTTCATACATTTATGTTTGAAAACTGCCTCTCTAACCTGGGATCATGTTTATGAGAGATTTGCAAGCTGACAGATATGACT